GGGGGGTCTTTTTGGTCATGTCTCAATATTGGTGTAAAAAAAATTATTTTTTTCTGGGTCATGTCTCGATATTGGTGCCATTTTCAGCATACATATTTAGATGTAAAAAAAAAATCAACATCTTCCTATTTAACTGGTTTGTTAATCTGGGTGGGGGGAAGAGATTTGCTTGAAATCTTGTAATCTTATTTGCTACAAAACATCAACTTGAATCACTTCACACAACCACATCTAATTTTACTATGATTATAAAATTATAAAGTACATGTAGCCCACCCCATAATATCTACCTGAAGAATTTGTGCCGTCATTTTAACTGCCTTGTCCAACAAAATTCAAAATTAATCCCCACCCACTATTAAGTTTTAATAATAATTTTACTGCACTTGTAACACAATAAGGTCAGAGAGCGCCAAAGATTAGGGGTGTTACAAGAGAGTAACAAACACAAAAAAGGAGGAGAGATCAGGACAATAGATGTTAGATAGGAAAGAAGGAGCAAACCACACCAGAGCACCCGCCAACCACTCACACCCAAAATTTAAGAAATATAGATTACTTATAAACAGTTCAGATCACCTACCAAAAACAGCCTGTGGGAGCCTTAAAGGTCAAAGAATACAAAGTTCCAGAAAGAAATTAGCGGCACACAGGAAAAAATTATTTCCACCATGGATTGAAATCCCTGCACTTCAAATGACTCTTAAGATGAAATACACTCCTATACTACAAAATGTGAAGCGTGCTGGCAAAATGAGTTACTTCTCGGGTTCAATACTTTAGGAAATAGATACATCACACTTACAGGTGAACTTTTTACAATGCGTGTTGAAGAATATGGTATCAATAGAAAATCTACAAATTTGACTCTAGTGTCGATTTTTAGCCAATATCCCCATTTGTGGATTGCGAGAAGTAACTCATTTTGTCAGCAGGCCTCACAAATGATACTCATGTTACTAAATCAGGTAAAATAATGTTCCACTTACAATGACTGGAATCTTTGCCTTTTTTCTGTTTTCCTTCCGACCTGCAAATGGGAAAGACCAGAAGTAATGATTTTTTCCATAGCATTAGTTTAGAACAAGTTTAAACAAAAAAAGGTTCCGGTATGTCAGAACTGCAACAGAGTGGTGCTTTCTCCAGTCCCACTAAAGAGATTTGGGGAAGCATGGTGTTGTGATTTGAACCCTTTAAGTATGGTATAAATCTTACTTCAGTCTAAACATTTTCTGTCACAGAAGGACAGGACAAAATACAAGGTTCAGAATGCCTTTCCTTGATTTTATAAAACAAATATATATAAGGTTTAGTTGACTAATATAACCATGCTTAAAAGTCTGCTCCCCCCTGTCACTGTAAAATAATACAGTATTCAATTTACATTTTTTTCATAATTGAACTTAGCATTTTCTTTTTTTTTTTTAGACAAACACAAGCGCGCGCACACACACAGAGACTGAGGAAATGTCTTGATTTATTAACTGTTAACTTAATAATTTATTGAAAGTTTTAGTTAGATCAAATCAATTGTGACTGAGGAGAATAAAAACATTAACAAATAAATCAAAAACAAAGTAACAAAAATAATAATTCAGATATTTTTGCAAGGAACAAAATGGCAACTGAAGGAATTTTGAAAGTAAATCACTTTCATACAACATTAACAGTACAGTGGAACTCGGATTCAACGAGGTCGCTGGGCCTGGCCTAAAATCTCGTTGAATCCGAGTGTTCATTATAGCAAACATGAGGTTATGTATAGATAATTACAGGCACTGAGAAAGCAACGAATAAAGAGAAGTCACAAGTAGTAGTGCCTGAAATGCCTGCATATTATGAGCTGTGTAAAAAAAAAGACTGATTTGTTCAAATGCACACGCCTGTGTCATCTCGATTGTTTACCAAAGCGTTGTGTTGCTGTGAAGAGCCTAGCATACTGCAACTTTTGATTCCATAGACCGGCGCACAATTCTTTACGTAGATCTACGTCAAGACTAGCTTATCATTGTAATGATAATCAGTTGCCAAGGGGAAAAAAAGACTGTGACGTGTTTGTATCTGCGACGTTCAACGCCCGGACCACTAGTGCCCCCCCCCTCCCTGACACACGCACACAGTCACACGTGTGCAGGCCGCCCATCCGACCCCGACTCACGCCTGAGTAGACACGTGCGCATGCCAAAAACGCATGTGTTGGTATGAAAAAAAGGCCGCTGATTGGTCGCATGCAATCGGCTAAGTGAATAATGGTTCACGATGCAGGTGCAGTAGACGGTTTCCAAGGAACAGATAAAGTAGGTTATGGGGGAAAAATGAGAGAAGCCACGTCTGTGGGGGCTGTTCACCCTGGAAGCGACCTTGTTGAATCCGAGCTCGCTGATTTAAGTGCTTGTTGAATCCGGGTTATTTTTATTGATTTTAAAGAAGGAAAAAAAACGGGGAATCTATCTCATCTGGTTGAATCTGAGCTCCACTGTATCACAATAACCAAAAGTTTAGATCATGTTGAAATTACCCATTGAGTTGTTTGGGGTTGAAGGTTTCGAAAAGAAACACAATAATACAGTATTCAACTTACTTTTTTTTCATAATTGAAATTAGCATTTTCTGTTTTTCTTTTTTTTAGACAAGACAAACACAAGCACACACACACTGTAATAAAATGCAAGTTTATCTATGCATATTTACCACCCTTCCTTTTCTTCATTTTTTGTCTGTAGCCATGAATAATTCACTGATACAGCAGATTTTAAAGGCTTTCTTTTGCAGTTGCTTAAACTAATCATTAGTTAAAGTAAATAAAGACAAAGCATTTTGCACTAAAGAAACATACTTTTAGCCACTAAAAATTTCAAACTGTGTCGACATTTTTTTAAAAATAAAAAAAATTTGATTACAATTTTTTTAATCGATTTTTTTCATTTTAATTTAAAAAATAAAAAAAAACCCCACCAACTCAACCCTGCAAGAAAGTGACAAACATACAAAAGAAGTAAAGGACAAATGACGATAGTAAAGAAGAGGAAAGAAAAAGCAGCAGTTCCCCGTATGTTGTTCCGGCACAGTATGAGCATGACATTGATAAATCAGCCCATTTACAATTCTACTGTGCATAAGAATATGTTAGTATGTTAATATCCCCCTTTTGGGAATGGCCTAAAGACACTTCAGTCAGTAGCACTGCCCTGGGGGTGATGAGGTCAGAAAAAATATAAACATAAATCCCAAAAGCTTACCTTCCTCTGGCTTTACTTTTCACATTTTTCTTCTGCTTGGCGCTGGCTGTCTTCAGTACTTTCCCCGAGGTGGTGGTGTTGGCCGGCGTGTGGTGACCACTGCTGGCCGTGCTGCCCGTCGGGGAGCTCTGGCCGTTGGTCTGGCCCGCGGGGGTCGTCGTGTTGGATTCAGGGCTCGCCGGTTCTCCTGGGGGGACAGCGCGACGGTACATTATAAAGGGTAAACGTGTGAAGAAAGTCAGAGCAGTGTTTAACATTTTACCAGGTTTCAACACCTTTAAAGAATCAACGCATTCTTTGGCAATTCACGACAGAAACCGCTTGAAACATGAAGTCAGAAAACTTTTATACTAAAGAAGGTACTCACAACACATTAACAAACATTTAATATAGTAAGAGTTTTATGGCACCTGCAACACAATAAGGTCATACAAGTGCCGAAGATTAGAGGCGTTACAAGAGAGTTACAAACACAAAAAAGGAGGAGGAGAGAGAAGGACGATAGTTTTTTTATAGGAAAGAAGGAGCAAACCACACCAGAGCACCCGCCATCCACCCACATTAACAAAAATTGTGGGAAAATCATCAAAGTAAAAGGTAAAAAAAAAAACTGACGCGATCCCCCAGCATTACAAACAACAACACTTTAGTTCACTTACGCTTTTCTGTCTGGTCTGTCACCCCAGCTACAGCCTGAAACAAATCATGAACATCTCCAGTCAGTTATTGCATCGCAACTTTCTAATCTATATATAAAGATACAAACACTGGGGTTTCTTCTATGATAATTTTTTAATTTTTTTTTTTTTGTCCCGTGTCCTGAATTTGGTGCCAATAGTCGTAATTTACGGTACAAAAAATGTGCCAAATTGTTATGCTTCAAGAAAAACAAAACATGAACAAGGGGAAGTGATGATGATGATGATGATGATGATGATGATGATGATGATGATGATGATGATGAACTTCTATGATGAAGTAAAACAAAGGCAAAAGCAGGCCCAAAGACCAACTACATTTTTCACCACTTTAGTGTAAATTTTATACTTCAACTACAACTACATACCTTTCACAGAAACAAGTACTAAAGACAAAATAAATGGTAAGCAAAAACTTATGACAACAGTTTCAAGTTCACAAAAAGTGTTGATTGATTTAATTGTGAGCAACAATATCAACAAAAGTACACCTCTTCTTAAAGTTCCACATGTTCTTACTGCTCTCTGAATTCACACAGTCACATCTCATGATTGGACTTGTCTAGGTAAGAATAATGTTGTTTCAGTATTTATGCGCCATATATATGTATAAAAGGCTTGTGAATAAATGATAATTTTGTCTGTACTGAGTTCACAACTCGACGTCCTGTGAAGTTACTACAATTTAAAAGACAACAACAACATTTTTTTAAAAAAAAGATTGCATTTTAACTCTTAACAGTACCACTCTTAAGTCTGAGGTGAACGAATTCCACACACACACTGACGATCCCAAAACACAGAAAGACTGGTGTCACAGATCACACTACTTACAGCCGCAGATGTCACGGATGATTTCGAGAACAGCCTGTCAGCCTCTTTGAACTTTCTGTTCCTCTTGTCCGCCTTACTATTGGTATTTCTGAGTAGAACAAACAAAACCGGCACATCAACATAAATATGTGAGGCGTGCTGCCAAAATGAATTACTTCTCGCAATGAATTCAAGAATGGAGATTAGATTATATCGGCTGAAAATCGACACTGGGATCAGATTTATAGATTTTTAATCAATGCCATTTTTTTTCTTCAAGTCTGCCGTGTCTTTTATTATTCCATACTTACAAATTGTACAAACTCCACCTGTAAAGTTGATGTAGTAATTTCTATATAATATAAGGCTAAAATCCGAGAAGTAACTCATTTTGTCAGCACGCCTCACACATCATGTAAGAAAACAAAGTAAAAGTGTACATTTATAGTTTATATAAACAAGCACAAAAGCAACGACATGTGTAGAACAGATAATCTCATAACATGGGCCCGTGCACATCATGGATCCACCCACCCACACAAGTTTGTCACTGGACGGGGGGGAGGGGGCTTTTTTTTTGTTTTTGAAAGTGTTTTACGGCGCTCGCAACTGCATATAAGGTCATATATATATATATATATATATATATATGAGCTCGTGGGACAAATATAAAACATTTTCAGCAGGTAGGAAATTTTGAATTTTGCCCGGGCTGCGCCCGAAGCCTACTCTGTTGATTTTAGACCTCCAAGGGATCTTTAACATGTCCAACTTGCACACAAACCCCTCTGAGATTTTCTCCATTGTCCGTGAAGGCTAGGTGTAGATCTTTCCTACCAGAAGATCAGGGGTGTGGCTGAAAGACAGCAGTAAGAAGAGCCAGGGAGTAGCTAGAAAGGCTGCAGAAAGAGTCAGGAGCCCGGAGGAGGGGAAAAAGGGGGTGAGGGGATGGGGGCAGAAGTGGAGACGACAGCAGAAAACACAACATTGCTAGAGAGCAGTAGAAAACTATAGCTAGTAGCCATTGGTGGCGGGGAATGGGCAACGTGAACCCTACCGAAATTACACGGTCACAGGGCAGTTAGGTCTTTCCAGCTTCATGAAAACCCTTAGTACCCTCAACGAGCATGGCCTCTTCTCAGGGTGGGAAGGCAGTCCACAGACACCCCCGTCCACGATACCTGGATTGATAACAATAACAACAACAACTTTACTTACTTGGTGTTTGTGAGGTAACGATCCCATCCTTTGATAATGTTGCCATACAGCTGTGTGTCTTCCAGGTAACTGCCCTCAAAAGCATAAATTTGACGCTCCAAATTATGCAGAGTTTCCTGAAACAATCGTAAGGAATGCCATATATGATATTATATAATTAATTAATTATTACCAAATCATATCTTTACGATGCATGAGACTGAAAGTACAGTAAAACCCTGATAACACAAACCTGAAACTTCATTGAACCAGATAATTTCTTCATGTAGAGCAGATGTCATGTGCAATGGATAGAATAAGGAGAAGGGTGGGCGGGCGGAGAAATGAGGATTAGTATACACACGATGGAAATATCACCTAAAAAACCCTAAAATATTTTAGTGTTATTCATGTGGCGTCGGTGGCCTAGTGGTTAGGCTCTCGGACTCGCAACCGTAAGGTCGCGGGTTCGAATCCCGCCAGGGGCCCGACACTGTGTCCTTGGGAAAGGCACTTTACACGAATTTTCCTCACTTCACCCAGGTGGGAATGGGTACCCGGCTATAGACAGCGAAAGATCTTGTCAGTTTGTTAGGGTTTGAGCGCTTAATCAGCTGCTTGCACTGTATGCTTCCCGGGAAGCTGAGAATGTTTCGGAGTGTTCTATGGTCTGCTGGGGTAATACTATAGTGTAAAGCGCATAGAGCCTGCTGTTGAGCTGGGATATGCGCTATACAAATTACTACTATTCAAAGCCAAAAAAAGTAGTCATGTGCCACAAAGTACACTTTTATTAGTTTAAATTTGTCCTTTAGACATATGTTATGTATATATAGCTTGAGACCAGAAAAAATTTTAAGACTATATTCTATCTATCTATGAAAACGGGAGTTTGAAGGTATGAGTATAATGCATTTTGCTGTTTTCAGGCGACATATTGACATGTGTAAAAATAGCAGCCAAGTCATTGCATTTCATTAAATTTGTTCATCTTTTGCTTGTGCAGCAAACATATACAGTCGAACCAGCCTTTACCGAAACTTTTCTAAGATAGAAATCTGTCATAACAGAATCTCCCCGCCCCACCCACTCCATCCCTTTGATAAATTCATTTAATTCCTGCATAGAACAGAAACCTGCCTGACAAGGACATAGAAACAGAAATAGACATTTCTTCCCTTCAGAAGAATTTACCTGTCTAAGACAGAAAATGCTTTTAAACCCACTCAGCCCTGATATGAAACAAAACTATTAACTTAGGTCTTATCAGCTCAAACCTTTATGCCATGCGCTGCCAGGTGAGGAAGGGGAGTAGGGGTGCAATTCTGAGATACTGCATCACACAGAGTAAAATTTCTATGCTCTGGTTCTGGCACAGGCTCATAAATTTTATGGCTACATGAATTATAACCCCCTCTACACAAGTTGATATAAGTCATTATGAGTAGTTATAATGCTTTCTATTCGATAGACGATTCTCTCTGTAGTCGAAACAAAAGGAGAAGGTCAATTTCAGAGTGTTGCTACTTAAAAAACACTCAAATTTTTCTTTTTTGTTGCACAAATGGTTTCCAAAACCATCAAATAGAATTATTTTTGTATTAAAATAAAAAAGGTCTATTTGAAAGATTTTTAAATTTTAAAAGTGGAAGTCTTGTTTCCAGGTTTGGTTTAAATCCTTTCGAGTCAAGCTCCTCATGTTCTAAGTCTAAGCCCAATTTGTTGACATTTCATTGGATGAACATTTAAAGAAACGAACCTTTGGCCAAGGCCTACTTGTTTCAACCCAGACCTCTATGTTTTTGCTTCAAACCAACATAGCTAGTTCTACTAGGCGTAGAAAACATGAAGCTATAGAGAGCACCTAGCACACCTCTGAGATTGGCCCAAATATAGACGTGTAGCTAATTTCCGCCATAGATCTATTTGAGTCGTCTTCCGGAGTTTCCCTCGCGAGTTGACTTGATCTATCATCCTTTTATCAGAAACTTTTTAACTATTGAATTGTTTCTTCTTTTTGTTCAATCATTAATCTGCATACTTGTAACATTGTCATTTTTCATCTTCAATTGGTCATAACATCACACTCACAGTTTTTTTGTCTCATCCCTCATGATATCAGAGTTTATCAGATACCTGAAAAATGTTGATAACGCTATATATATATACAACGAAATAAAATTACAAATGATTTGGTAATAGCGGTTTACAAAACGTTGCTTTTCTATTTTTAGTAACTTTGTCACAAGCATTCCAATGAATAATAATAAAGTAAAGGGTGATAGATAATAATACATCTTCAACTGGTGAGGGAAACCCCGGAAGAAAACGAAAATTAGAAAATAGATGGCAGAGATACGTCTCATCTCTATATTTGGGCAAATCACAGAGATGTGCTAGTTGCTCTCTATAGCTTCATGTGCTCCAGAAGTAGGTGACACAAACTGACTGACGCATCGCATAGGCCTAGATTACAGACCTACACACTTTGGGGGAGGACTTCCGTAACGAGCAACCACTATGAGACAGTAGAAAGAAAGAAGGTTAAGGGTAGGATTAGTGGTAGGGTTAGGGTAAGGTCTCTTCTTAATTGTGTTTGTTGGGGTGGTCGCTCATTACGGAAGTCCTTCCCACTTCGACTGCGGAAACACGGGACCTGCAAATCGCTCAGCACGTACAAGCTCAGAGCCATGCTGTTTTAATATCCATTGGACCATCATTGGAAGGAAAGGGTGCAGAAATTTGCTAATTGGTGTGCAAGTGTGTAGATCTAGGCCCTAGAGAATTCGGGACATGGGCGACATGGGGGATGGGATAGGACTGGAAAGGATAGGGACAGGGATAGGGTTAGATCTAGCTGCTGAGGCTGAGGGCACACATCGTTAAACGTAGAAAAGACACATCTTTCTGATTGGCTGCTAATTTTAGTACTGTGATGTCATCACTTCCTGGGATACCCACATGGAACAACGTGTTTTCGGTAACATTTCGGATTTCCTAGATCTAGATTCCTGATCTAGATAGTAGGCCTACTTGGACATGATGGAAGACTGCACGAAAATTGCCGTAAAGACGCAGGAGGATTAGATCTAGATCTAGATATCTAAATTTAAATCTACTACCCCCCTCCCCCCTCTCCTGCATTTTTAATCACTAATATTTTTTTTTAAACCAACTTCTTCAGAGCAACTCTACAAGTTAGGCCTATAATTTATGCGACTGTTGGTCAGTCCGGAGGAGGAGAAGAGAAAAAACAAACTGTCCGGGACCGGGATCGAACCGCTCCAAAAATCATTGCACGACTTCTAACGCGGATGAGCAGTCTATTCAGCCATCAGAACTTCCGAGAGAGAGGTGTAGATTAAGCATGATATAACTTCCATCTTTGGTGCCAAGCGGTTGCCTATACTTAAATGTAGTCAGGTGATCGGAGGGGTATCCTGGTCAGACGTCAAACAAGATTGGCGCCTTACCTCTATCCTAAAACGAAGATAGGGCGCTTTTTCGGTAGTTCCCACTCCGCAATTGTTATTCACGGGTTTTGGCCCCAAGAGTAGGGGGGTTTCAGCTTGCGCCCCTGACCTAATATAAAAACAAGGTGGGGGGTTTCAGGGGGGCATGCAAATTTTACAATTTAATGTTTTGCATTTGTTATTGTTAGGTTTGATATCTTGGCTCGCCGAGAATCAAACGTATAGATCTAGAGATCTAGATCTTGGTCAGGCTCAAATAAGGGGGGGTGGGAACTACCGAAAAAGCACCAAAAATAGTTTGCGTCTTTCTACGTTTAGGCCTAATTGCATGTTGAGGGAACCGAGGCTGAGGCCTGAGGGCGGGGGCAGTCTACGACGACACGACACACGTACGTTTTGATGAAGTTTTTTTTTGGCACTATTTCTCCGAACGTTCGGGAAAATAAAGCTGGGCACTATTTCTCCGAACGTTCGGGAAAATAAAGCTGGGCACTATTTCTCCGAACGTTCAGGAAAATAAAGCTGGGCACTATTTCTCCGAACACTCTGAAATATCATCCTTTCCCCCAAATTTCGGATATT